AGAAAAAAATATTATAGAAGAAGACTCCATTTCATGCTATATAAATTGATGTTATACTGGTGGAAGAACAAGAAACTGCATTTCTAGGCAAACTGAAAGATTTCTTCCAGGAGCAACAAGTCGACAAACTGGCAAACCAGGGAATTCTTCAAAATCTTGTTTGGTACCTGCCCTGGTTCTTCTAGGCAGCTAATGTGGACAGAGTGCTGTGTCCCTTGTGGGTGTGATCTAGAGTAACCATTTTAAGGGCTCAGTACTTTCCTATGTCTGGTACTTCAGGGACATGCTTGTGCTCTTTTGTGGCTAAGTATCCCCTCCCTTCTCCCCTGGAAGATATGGAAGATCAAAGTTTCAAAACAAATACAATATTTATCCTCATTTTTGTCTTATCATAGATTGGAAGAAGAAAATATCTGAAATTTTTAGAAAACAGGAGAAAAATATTTTTCTCACAGAATGAATTTTATGAATATCTCTTTTTACCACTTCCTTATATGTGGTACTTCATCTAGCTTGTTTTTATGCAAGAATTACAATATAATTGTTTGTCTGAACTAATTTTTGTTAGTCTTCTCAATGACCAGTATGTCATTGAATACCACTGCTAGAGAGATGAAAAAAAAAAATATGAAGGTCTCTAATCCATCTAACCCAGGTGTTGCAACAGGAGTCCATATGGAATTTCACTTTATTATATTGTTGCATGGGTGACAATATTAAATGAATATTTGTAATGAAGCTCATTGTCTTGTAACTTGAAAGCAGTAGAGTTTCATTTTGGCAGTATGAATGTTAAGCTTAATTACTTAAGGTGCTGAAGAAGATTCTGTACAAACATGAGCAAATACAAAGTATCAGAATTGCTTGATGTCCAAGAGTTTCACAACTAGGGAAAATATTTGTAATTGATTTTTTTTTAATAGAGTAAATATCATATGCTATCTAGATCTACATTGATTCTATTTATAATCTGCAGATTGTTGCATTGTCATCATGGTTCAGAAGGTAGTGAAGTTAAATTCCTATCAGTTACAACTCCTGAAAGATTTATTAAGTGGCTTGCATAAGTTGGCATTACTTGACTTTGATAGAAATGCGTTAAGATGGAACTGTTGAAAGTCTGTCCCAATGTGTCCAGTCTCCAGCTCATCAGCTTTAAATAGGATCCTTTCATAATCTTTTAGGTCATTTAGAAACTTGTTCAGCCTTAATACAGCTCTTAAACTTCTTACCTTTGATGTATAAACTACTTGCTTTAACTGCTTTTGAAGTATTTAGTGTCATACTTAATTCAGAATACAAACAAGTACAAAATGCCAGGTATTTTTTGACATTGCCTGCTGCATCTTCTACATATGCCTTTAGTTCTGCTTAGTCTGAACTTAGTAAATCCTTGTATTAAAGAGAGAATTGCTAGTAAAGATGTCTAATGGAGAAAGATCAAGAAAATTTCAATGACATGGGGCATAGCTTCACATCAGTCATCAGCAGCGTAACTACTTTGTGGTGTAAATGCATAGTAATTGTAAGTTAATTTATTTGCTGGAATTGTGATACTGTAATGTTTTACATAGTAAAGTTGTCCAATATGCGCAATATGTAGGAAATGGCAAACTTGAATTTATTCACAGATAAAATTAGTATTCATTGCACTTCAATTATTTGTCTTTGGTTTTGTTTGTCTCATCAAAATTTTGTTTAATTTCAGCTTTGTTCTCTGCTTCCCCCACATTAGTTCCATTGTCTTGATTTGCATCATTTGTAGCAGCTGGCTTCTTGTCATTCTGTAGTTTGGACCTGTACATCAAATAGCAAATTAATTACAGGAAAAGAAATCCCAATAGTACTTCTATGCTGAGAGATTTTCACAATTATCACGAAATGAACGTTGCTGGTTCTTGTCAGAGATGAGAAGTGGAACATGGGGAAGGGGGCAGTGCGTGCTTCACAGGTGCCAGGAGTTACCTCTAGAAGTGTTGGTCAGTTAACTGTACCCCCCACACCTTTCCTAGACCCTCACCTCATTTGTTGTAAAGTTAAATTAGGAAAGAAAATAGTAATTAACAAAAAAAAAAAAAAAAAAAAAAAGTGAGATGTGTATTGTTAAAAGGTGCAGAGCCTAAATGCATCTCAGGTACGAAAATACTCTCTGGAATTTAATGGAAGGCCTGATTGCATCCTAAATATTAGCTCCTTTTCCCTTTACCACATCTTAAAAAGAGAACCAAAAATGCCTCCTTAGGTTTCTTCTGTCATTGTTTATGAACTTTTTTGTTTATTAAAAGAGAAATCAAGAGACCCTTTTAAAATCAAGCAACATATACAAAAGCTGATGAGTATGCTGTCCAGAGGTGCTCACAGCAACACATTTAAAGTGTGAGCAGTTAGTGTTTAGACCGTCAACATGACTTTCAGACGTCAGCAAGTAATTCAGTCTTTTAACAAGTTGCTGCACTATATTAAATTCCTTGTTTTGATGACCATTAGTAATGGTTAGAACAATAACATTGCTTTTGTATTTTCCTTGGACTTGTTTTTTTTGTTTGTTTGTTGTTAAAGATGAATACAACTATGAAATGCAATATTCAAATAACTGTGGTAGAGTGTGGTGAGTGGAGGTGGGGTTGTTGGTATATTATATAAACATGAAGGAGATGTGCTTCACTTACAGTGAAATACTGTATTGTAATGATGGGCTAGTTTAGTCTAATTTACTTGATGTCTTCTATTGCTTATTTCTGCTGGTTTTCTGTTTTTCTTGAACAAATGGGTACAGTTTCTGTGGCCATCTTTTCAAGATACATATAATCTCTGATTTTCTGATGTTTTTTGCTATCTCTAGCTGAGCTATCTCATGTAGTCTGTCTTTTTGACAGTGCACAGATCATGAAAGACAGTAGTACCTTGTCCAGCTCTTAGGAGGCTATTGAATTTGGTTCGATACAGTGTATGTTTTGTGGCAATGTTTTTCCTCACTTTCTGTACCATATTGTTAGCACAGTTTAAGAGCTCAGTCCAGCATTAGTCCAAGGTCATTTTCAAAGTCCTTCTATGATTCTGTTCTTTCATATTTGTCTGGGTTTGAGCTGAATATGAAATTTAGTGGTTTAGCTTTTGAACAGGAAATTTAATTTATAGCTTGTCAGTTCATTTACAAAACAGATATCACTGTGAAGGACTCTTCTAAATACTTATGCAGCCTTTCTCCTTTGTTCTCTATTCGTTCTTGTTCCTGTGAAGAAGCATGGAAATACACAAAAATCACTTTGAAAATCTAAGTTGGTAGCTGTCACTGCTGCCTGTATCCTCCGGGCCTTCCAGGCAGCACAGGCTGTGCGAGACAGCAGATGGTGTCTGCACACGCAGGGTTTCAGTCCAGGAAACAGCGCTTGCCTTCACTCAGCATCCTGCCCTTTGTCTGCTCACAGATCTCCAGTTTATTGCCAAAACTTCAGTAACTGCTTGTAGAAAAGTTAGGAACTTTTTTTTTTTTAATAGAAATTCTCTTAAATTTGACCATATTGCTTCATGTATGTATTTCCAGGTACACCATTTGTTGTCTTTGTGTTATGGTGAGGAGGCGTTATGTGTAATGTCTGAAATTTTTGCCATGGATCCACTATCACAGGCTTTGAAATGTGTGTTTAACTTTGAAGGTACTTAATGCATTTAAATCCTGTGTAAAATGTATGGTCCAAAACGACAGTTTGCTTAGGCAGCAGATTATAACATAAGTTAGAACCATTAAGTGTACTTGAATTTGTCTCAAACTGTAATAATGACAGTACATAAAGCAAGAAAACTTTGGATACATGAAAAACACTCAAAATATTGAGTCCCAAATGAGGTGTTGCTCTGGATCCTTAGCTCTTACAGATGTGATTCACTTCATAGATTCTGCATAACAGAAGCTATGCTTTTTCTTGATAAAATTTCAACTTTTCTTCCTTCATTTTGAAGGGAGTGTGATTTAAGTCTGAATAAACCAATTCCTTAAAGTGAAATTTATTCCATGGTTGTGTGGGCTAGATAATCATGATGAGAGTGGCAAACTTGTGAAGCATTACTGCTGTAAAAAAACAAAGTGAAATACAAAGGTGTCTACACACATGCAAAGGCACCTGAACTGTGGGGCACACAGAGGAACCCAGCATTCAAATGTGATTCATCCCGGCCTGAAATGTATCTCTGATGCTCATGACAGCGAGTGTTATGTTTGGAAAAGGAGCTCCCTTTGCAAGGTTCCTGAATTAATGCATACTGGAAGGTCCTCAAGTTGTCGTATACCTTCAGCCACTTGTTTTCAGTATCAAATACTGAAAGCATCATCATTAAGCATTATGCTTTACTCTCGATAATCTAGGCTGCTAGTTCAACTAGGATGTATTTTTTAATTTTTCTAGGAAATGTAGAACTAAGATTCAAGTAATCTTTTTTTAATAATTATATTTATACCACTGAAAACAATGACCAGAGTGTTTATAGCTAGGATAAAAAGTCCAGAAAAAGTGGTCAAAGTGCATCCAACTGGTCTTTTGATTGAAGCTTAACTGATAAAATGAGAGATTTCTGTCTCTGCAGTTATATGAATGGTAGTGCGGATTTCTGTTAAGTGCTCTAAACAAATGGATTTCTACTGTTAAAGTGATGTTTTAGGTTTCATAGTGATTCTAAAATTTCTATCCCAGTTAACTGAATTTCTGTTGCCCTTATGTGAATTTTTTAAGCATGGCATGATAGCATAGAGCATTCACCACTTGATACTTCCCCTGGAGTCCATGGATATTTTGCTCTTGAAGTTCTGTTGGCCAAAAGAAACCTGTTAAAAAGCGTGAGAGTTCTGAGAGACATTTTAATACTAAAATGACCCAGTTATATATGAAGAATTATTTTTTGGAATTTAATACTTGTAGGAAGGAAATACTTTAACATATTTTGCCTCTGCAGTTTTAGTATATTTTCACATGTCATTCACAGTTCCTTAATATTTTTAAATACAGGTAATGAATTTGGACATCCAGAATGGCTTGACTTCCCCAGGAAAGGGAACAATGAGAGCTACCACTATGCCAGAAGACAGTTTAATCTTACTGAAGATCATCTTCTTCGCTATAGATTCCTAAATGCATTTGATAGAGATATGAATAGATTGGAGGAAAGATTTGGCTGGCTTGCATCTCCCCCGGTAAGCTCTATAGACTAAATGCTAAGTTTTTAGTCACCAGTTGAGTGCATGTTCAGAATAACAAGAATACCAAATTTGCATGCAGAAATTTTAAACAGCACTTTATTATGCACTGTGTAACACCCCATCATATATTTCAAGTTGTCAAAACATGTCACTGAAATATCTTCCACAGATAATAGAAACCTGAAACAGTCTCCTTCTAGCTTCATAGCAAGCTCTTTTCCCAATATTTTTGCTATTTTTATTTAGTAGCTGCAGATTGGATAAAGCAGACTATAAAACTGTCTGTAATCCAATCCAAGGATTGCTTTCAGAAGGTATAAATCATCAGAACAATTTACTTTATATAAATAATTGCCCAGTTACCGAGAAAACACTTTTAGTATCATATAAGTTATAGTGTCCCAGACTCCAGCCTGTCACTTTTGTATTTGCTTTTTTTACCCAAATATTGTACCGTACTTCTTATCAAAGCAACTCTGTTCTTATAATTTCTCAGTGTTGAATCATTTCATACTAGCCATAACCCGCTTTAAAGAGTTTCTTGTAATGGATGTCTAGTTATTCATTAATGGCTTTAGCAAATAGAACAAAGGTGGTATGCACAGCAGTTTAATGTAGCTTATCAAAGCTGTTTCTCACACAGACTTTAAAAATAAAACCAAACACAAAACCCCTCCGTATCCAATGCTTAATGTTTTAAACTAACAGTAGACGTAATGCAGATCCCCATAATAAGTATATCAAAGATTTGATCTGATAAAAGGAATCTATTTTTTGCTGAAGCAAAGTGTGATAAAATGACCATGTTACCAATCTTTGAGCAAGACTTTTTTAGGTGCTGTATACCTAACATGTTTCTACCTCTTTAATGTTACATCACCTTATAAAAGTCACAGTTTAGTAGTCAAAAAAATTTATACTACATTAGGTAGGTAAACAATTTCAGTTTGTATGATAATGCTGTTTATCTATGTTGCTTGAGCCTTTTACTTGAAATGAGGTATATGAGCAGTGGAGGTTTTTTTTAATTTTTTTTTTTTTTAATTCAGCTAGAAATGAAATGTTTTATAGTATTGGATTTTTATTTTTTTTCTTCCCTAGGCCTATGTGAGTGAAAAGCATGAATCCAATAAGGTCATAGCATTTGAGAGAGCAGGTCTCATTTTTATTTTCAACTTCCATCCATATCAAAGTTACGTGGACTACAGAGTGGGTATTGAAATTCCAGGAAAATATCCTTCTATTTACTGTTTTGCTTGTACAGAAAAGCTTTAGAATGTAGTTAAAAGCTAAGAAAACACGTATTTGTAATCAATATGATCTGACTTTAATTCTTAGCGTACAGTGAAAAAATAATTTAGAACTTTGACTTGTTCATAAGAGGTAATTTTGTAAAAATCACAATCTAAAGACTACATGTTAAAGTTTCCTTGTGTCGCCTTGTTTCTTGCAATTGTATTGAGGCATGAAAAAGCAAGTAACTCCTACTTCTTAAATACACTCCAAAAAGTGACCACAGTAAATTGAAGCTCTGCATGCAGTCATACACGAAAATGCATTACTTTAAACCTTCATCAGGAAGGTTGTACCATTTCTGTTTTATAACTGCGTGGACTGAGAATGTGCTCTTAGATCAGCTGAGCAGTAAATTATCATTCTTGAGTAATTGGCTGGTTTTGCATTTATGTCCAAATTATTAGCATTGAGGGAGATTAAAAAAAATTAATGCTAACTTGCCAGAGGGATATAATTTTCTAATTTGACCCAATTCAGCTTGTTTCAAGTCCTTTGATGAACGCAGTCTAGTGAATCTTGCTGTGTCAGTTTAAAGCACTGCAATTCCAGTTTTGGCCTATTCCCTTTTTATTTATCAGCAGTTTCAGGAAACTACCGCTATATTTCAGTTGCTTTAGTTCCATGTAAATCCTGAGTACTCCCTGAACTGGCCAACAGGGCCTCAGGAACATAGCAGGATTCTGGCTTAGAGACATCACATCAAACCTACATCCTTCAGTGCTTTCTTCTGGTACCTCTGTGCTGCTACTGAAACACCTGGCAAAGGTGGAGCAGGGTAGTAAATTGGAGGGTAAAATCTTAATCTGGTGTTGTGAGATACACCAATATTTGACTGTCATAGGCTTCAGGCAATCAGCTGTTTCAGTTGATGCTACTGTGCTTCATCTGTCTTTATAGGAGATTTCTCGGAGGTCTGCAGATGGAAAAGGTGTAAGTCCAGTGTTGAGGACTGAACCTGTAACAAAATTAACAGGATTTTTTTCCTCTGATACTTGTGGATTGAATGTAATTATATCTCTATTTTGTTGTTTCCCTTCTGCCCTTGTTTTTCAAAGATACTCAACGTTCAATTATTAGAAATGCTTAAGCAATCTTTAAAAAAAAATCTCACTCTTAATAACTTTTGTATCACTTATTTTTCTTTCTTTTCCGTAGCACATCTTTATCAGGATTCTATTTAATTATGATTTTATACATAAGGCTGCTCTCCTAACTTCATTTTCTGATTTGTGCTAAAAAAAAAAACCAAAATATCTAAGCACTGTTTTTTTTCTGGGTGTGTAAATGCCCTGCACACATTGTTATAAAAATGCAATGTTTGTTTACAACATTGAACTGTAAAAAAAATTACAAAATACAATGTATGTTTGTTATTCACTTAATAGTAGATAATCATGGATTTCTTTCATCCTTTGATTATTTTAGTTCATCAAAAATCATACTGAAACTAAACAACCGCTCAAGTGTGTTCAAAACAAGTATGACATAAACATGGCATACAGATGATGTTTCATATTTGCAGTTTATATTAAATTTCTTAATATTGCAATTTATATTAAATTTCTTAATATGTTAGTGTCAAAATATGTTCTGGTCTTTCAAGTGTGTGTAGTGTAATTTTATTTACATCATATATTATAGCTACTTTAAATTTATAATGCCTTTGTTAAAGCATAAAGATCCATATTAGCTTTTCATTCACTAACCTGGAGTTTTTATTGCTAATAGATCTGCCAGTTACCAACAGTGTATTTGCTTTTGTTGAAGTGCTTTGTCTGACTAACCCCTTCTGCCCCAAGCAAACAGTGGGGTTTGTGATTCTCTGTCCTCAGTATGTGATGACCTCTGCTGCTTTTGGTTGGAGCCGAGGCCTCTGAATGCTGCTGCTGCAGCTCTTCGCTGTGAAACAGTGCACCTTCACCTCTGCTGAGAGCCCTGTTCATTTGGTTAATGACCATCTGTCCCCTTTGATGGTATTGTGCTGTTTGCGGCTCTGAGAGGAAGCAGTTCTCTTAATTTAGTGTTCTTACTTTGGAATTGCAAATGTAGACTCTTCCCATAAATCACCTTTTCAATAACTTTGCCCTATTCAATTTTATTCTGTAGCAGTTCAATTTTCAGGAATTTCCCGTGGTTCCATGAACCACGGGAAATTCCTGAAAACTCTCTGGAAGGGAACTATTGCCAACTGGCTCTCAGCCTGCATTTATCCTTGGATTTTTAAGTCTGAATGTAGGAACATTCTCTTCCTTCCAGTATCTCAGATTCTGAAGATGCAAATCTTTCTGAATAATACACATACTTAGGCAGGCATAATGCAGGAGATGGTGCAAGTTCTGATTCACAGAGCTGACCTGAAACAATCTTCAGGTTTTAAAAGCTGCAGTGTTTTGCGTGGTGGTCTTTTAAGGTGAACACAGAAGTGTTTCACTTGCCAGGAGAATAAAAAAACTCCCCTCTGTTGGCGGAAGAAAACAAACAAGCCTACACCTCATAAAGTCACTTTGCTAGAATGGGACATGTTTGAACAAATAATTTAGCTGCCCCAAATTTGTAGTTACAGCTTGTAAAAGCAGATGAATGTCTCTTTGTCAGACTTTCCTGAAACAAAATTTAGCACGTTGCAGTTCTCGAAATAAAAGTCATAATATTTCATCTTAAACTGTTGTGCTTAAAGAGGAGAAAATAACAAAGGAGTGAGAAGAAAAAAGCAAGTATAACTTAGGTCAAACCCTTTTGATTTGGCTCATAAGCATCTTTTTTTTTTCTTTCCTTTTTGACCTTTGAAATAAAAGTCCCATTTCTGTTAATTAAGATCTCTTTTGTCCTGGGAAGCTTTTTTATCTCTATTGAAAAGGTCACTGTGTGTTCATCCACTGTAATCATAGGGGATGAAGTGTTGGGAGTTCTTTTCTGAAGGAAGTGCAACAAATAAGACAACATACCCCAATGCCTACACCATAAAAGTCTCACTTCTGTTTAGTGCCTGCTGCTAGCAAAATCCTTGGACAGTAAATTGGCTGTAAACACTTTGAACATACCTAAACTTTTCATTTCTGCACTGTCTGGGAGAAAACTAAGCAGTACTGTATCTACCAGTTGTGTTCTCAGTATCTTTACATTGATAATGAAGCTCTCTTTTATCAAATTCCTCTGTGTGAAAAGTTGCTTCTAACCCAAGGCAAACCCTGTAGTTGTAGAACTACCATCAAGTGTATTAGAAAACTGCTGAGATCTTGGCAATAGTTGGTATGCAGTGTACATATGTGCTCATCATCATAATCACTTATTTCAGGAAACTTCATCTTAATTAAACTAGAGATACCTAATACTTTGGCATTAGAATGGAGAAGATGCAGATAGTCACTGAAACACTTCTCTGAAACTCTATTAAAAGCAGAATCATGTTATGGCAGTTCCTTACACCTCCTCTACTTAGCAAGTAGTGGTAATGAACTGTATGTATGGTCTTTAGTGACAGCATATTTGAAGTATTGCAGCATGTGGTGAGAGAGAGTAACTAAAACTGCCTGACTCTTCACAGGCGAGGAGTCCATGTGTAATATTTGATGCTGTTTGTAGCAGTACACCCTAAAAATTCTGTATTCTATTCACATCTCCTCTGGTTGCAAGATCAAAAGGGAGTTTGTGAGTGCTGTTCAGATTTGGATCTACTTATTTTCTGTAGTGATGGTAACTACATAAACTGTTAGCAGTAAGCAGGGACTAACTTCCACTATTTCTGTGATATTTCTCAGACTGGTTAAAGCCAGATAGTACAAAAGAAAAGGATAGCATGATTTCCACAGCATGAAGGAGATTGGTACTTCAGTTCAAGAAGGATTGAGCTTTAATGAAAATTAAGGGTATCAAGTATTTTATCAACCACACAGGTCCATAGAAAGACCACTTTATACTCCACCTAACCAGGAGAGATGAAGAGTATGTGTATTCATTTCTGTTAGACATGCTAAGTCTTTCTTGGTTGAGATTACAAAGCTATTAATCCAGAATCTCTGACTTGAATAGTATTTTGCATCAAGAAAACAAAAAGATCAATAGTTTTCTTATTGCAGCTCAGTCTTCTAGAGTAGTCAGACATTTATAGTATAGAAACAATGAAGAACTGTTTATAGTGTCAGTTTTTTAAAATGAAACATATCTCAAAGTGAACAACCACTATAGCCCTCCTATTGTTTTTGCTTTCACCATCCTTTCTTCTTCCCTACCAACATCCAGCAGGCTGAGTTTCAGTATCTATTTTCTTTAATTATGTCAGGATGTGAAAATGTTCACGAGCTTTTTCTAACTCCAGTCCTTCCAGTCATTCAATTAGAGCCATGAATTTTACGTATAATTGGTTATGAAACTTTTAAATTTCAGATAGGGGAAAAAACAGGCAAACAAAATATATCCTATAACACATTCACATGTGATGTAAATCTTCAAAACTACTTCTCCCCTTGAAAAGGATGTCTCTACAATCCCTTTGGAACTAAAGCATGAAGCAGAAGTACTTAAAAAAAACAGGAATTTGTTCTTACTCTGTTTCTTTTTAAGAAATTGGTAGATTTTTAATTTCATACTCTGAGGCAGTTCCTGAATAAGCCTAGAGAGCAAATTTCTATAATATATCAAATTCTTTTTAGTAAAAAGTTTGTTTCAATGATCTTTGGAGTGGTGGGGAATGTCATGATCCTTTGACTACCTACATTTAATTTTGTTTAATGGATCAAATTAGTCAAATTAGACAAATGTAACATTTGTCATTAAGTTTGCCTTTGAGTGGATCTCTTTGATCTATCAATCCATTGTAGTAATACGTATCACTAAGCTGTTGTGGTACATAGCTTCTTGGGTGTGTTACCAGGTATGTTAAAAGATACAGAGCTTCCTGCCTTTCTGACCTATACTTGTGTAGACAGTCCGCTGTTCCTACTA